AAATGTACGGTCAAATAAGTGTATGAAAAAGACGAGAGTACGAAAACAAATACCTTCAATGAAAGGCGCGGCTCTAGGCGTATCCACCTTCCTGTGTGCATATAGATAAACACTCACATATTTGTAGAAGTGAACAATACTACTTCAACCACTATCGGCAGTTTTATTGTTTTGTTGTTTAGGTAAAATACAGACGCCCACAATATCCTCGGGTCAAAGGACATACCTAGGAGACATATTATTTCATACCAATGCCTCACATGGATACGTACGACAATAGGCAAGTGCTCTGAAGTGCCGACTTGGGAACGGCGCCCTCACTCAGAACTGGGCGTAACGCAATTTGATTAAATTAAGATCGTATTAGCCTTTTCTTCGTTCTAAATTTTGTTATTCCTGTATTATTCATTTATTTTTGTCTACTTTTGTGCTTATATTAATATTTTTAAACATTTATTTTTTTAATTATATTTGTTCAATTATAGGATGAAACGTCGTTTCAAGAACACAGTTATACGAAATTTGCTGTTCAAAGTACTCCGGTCAAATGTAGTGCGCCCTCATTTTGAATTTTGGCAATGTTCATTGAGCTATAGGATTAGCAACAGGCTTGATAATAAAATTGACTTTGATTACTACGGAAATTTGAAAATGTGCAAAATATTAATAAATTCCGGGGAAGCCACTGAAAATGGTGGAAAGCCGTAAAAAGTTGGTTGGAACGGTTAATTTCTGTGTATAAAGCCGAAAGGTTTGATTGTTGAGAAATAAAAAAGGACTAGACGGTCTCATGGAAATTGGAACGTTTCGAATGAAATGTCAAAAATGTTGAATTGTCGTAAAATTTACTAGGTGTATCATAAAAGTTGGAAGTTGCCTGGATAATCCGTATATGTAGGTTACAAGTCACGAGAGTTTAGTTAGAGAGTTTCGAAAGAGATAGAAAGTATGTCAGTGTAGTTAACGCTTACTGGAAAGCTTAAATTATTTTTGTCGTAAATGATCACTGGAAATACACAAGTGTTGGCTGGGAAGTCGTAAAAGTTGATTGAATTGTCGTAAATGGTGAATATCGTAAAAGTTTTGTAGAAACTACGTCGAAATCAGTCAAATTTCACCCCATATCTTGAAAGGTAATTTGCTAGTTACACCAAAATTGAACTTGGTTGACATTTCCATAGTCCCTACAATTTCAGTTATTTTTTTATGTTCATAGTATGAAATCTTACGCGTGTTGTATATACCATGGTATTATTTAACCTACCAGTCTCATTAGAAGTTTATATCTCTTTTCTGTTCTACTCTTACCCGTATTCCAATAATATTGCTGATTTTATTTATCTAGCATTGAAATGACAAGCACATTGCACATCAACCTAATCTGTACGTTTCTCTTTTCATTCAATTCAATTTTCACTTTGGGCTACGGCTTGTTACAGTAAAGTACAATGAATACAACAGAATTAAATAGTACTTTCAAGAGTTTGGTGATTCAAAAATAGCTGTGCCACCATTGCCAATGTGTCCTGTATTAAGTCTGGGTTTGAATGTATCTTATTAAAATGTACTACTTAATTACCGCAAAGAATGTTAAGGAATGTGCCTGTGGAGAATCAAAAATGTCACGTGGCGTCAGACAAGCGTGTTTTCTGTCGGCAATGCTATATGTGATTTCAGTTGAACTTCTTAGTACTGTTTTCAAACGTAACCTAACCATAAATGGTTATTCAGTCCTGATATTATACATATAGGTACATTGACCTCAGATTTGTTCATTTTGTGATATCTTCAATTTTCAAATTGAAATGTGAATTGCTGACAACTGAGCTATCTCAGCCGAGAGCTGCTCGTTTTCATATAATTTTATTATTCTTGTATATTTTGGTCACAATTGTTCATTTCAACCAGGATTTTCATGCCAAATTGTGCTTGGATAAACTATTGTATTATTTCAGAACTTTTATTCTCACTTTTGCCATGCAAAGTGAATATTTTATCATTTAAGTGGCGTGTGAATTTTTCTTCCTTGGCATCCATCTTGAATTTTTGCTAGTTATACAAATGTAGAAAACATCAGCTTTTTTGATGAAAGTTAAAACTTGACCCGTATTCAGTTGCTAATAACAATTTGAAGAACAGTAATTAATTATGTAAATTTCTTTCATTTCATTTGTACGTAGTATTGTTTTTGTACACAAAATGTGAATGGTTTTGAGATTATTAAAACATTAAATCAGGCAGAGGTTTGCATCTCACAGCGCTGTCTAGTTTTAGATATTCTTGTTTCACCATTACACCCATTTATCACTACGCCAAAGTTGTCTTGACTGCTTGATGCAGATAGTTCACCATGCTTCAAAGTATATTGTCAATCACTTTAATTTCCAGTGTCAGGAAAAATTACTCAATATTATATCAGTGAATACGACTTTCGTCTAATTGAGTACTTCCTAATTATGAAATAGTAAGTGTATGCGACAGCAGAAATGTGACAATGTACAGTATTCATAATAAACATGATATTGATGTGTTACAGTGACTAATAATGCACCTGGAATGCAAATAAACCCTCAGTGATGGTGACCTTGCAGTCTTTCAGGTCACATGGGTGAACACGTGTGTAAAGTTTCAAGGCACTAGCTATTTTTACGAGCATACATACACACACATAGCTTCATCTGTGCATAGGTATAGGTATTATGTAGATAAACGACTGGTCACAGAATTGTTCTATACATTACACGTCTCGATTACATTGATTTACATTAAATCTGCATTTTATTAATCACGCATTTCTTGTTTTTAAAAGGTATTCTTTTATTTTGCTTGCAATGTCAGCAAATTGCCAAAAACGTAAAGGTTTGAATGCAAATTTAGTATACGCAAGTCTTTGATTTGTCGCGTCTTTCTACAATCATTGGAAGCAAGTAACCATTCTGTTTTTTAGTGTTCCTCTTACTTGTAATCCTATGTATTTTATGCGTGGTATTCTGTATGGCATTTTCAAACGCATACTAGACGATTAACTGGTACATTTGTAGATACATTTAAGGTCTATGATTTAATCAAAAAGACACTTAAGTTTGGGTGTTATCAATTCCCTCGTTAACATTTTGTACAATGGAAGCATCAGCCAAAAGCCCGAGAACAGTTCTGAATCTGCCTCATTTGAACAACTAGGTTCAACTAAATTCATTGAAGATAAGTCATGAGATAGTGTATCAAATCAAATGTTTTTCTGGTGGGGTAAAACCTGAAGGATACTTACCCTAACCACAGTGCAGAGGGACTGTGCCTAAACATAACGATGCACTCAGTCAACCTTACCTAAGGCTGGGAAATCGCATCTTATCTGGGATTGAATATAGGCACACTATTTCAAAATCAGAACATTCGCTACACGTTTGTCTCAACATGCATCAACGAGTTCAGTGGAATTTGCTTCTGGAAGTGGAAGCGTCTGTGAGGGCCTGCTGTTGCATGCAACATGGCCCAGACGCGCACGGCACCTATATGGAGACAGAGAGCCGACCCCTACAACCACGTGCCAACTACATAGTGGTCAGGACATCTCTTATCCTACCTCGACCGACAGGTGCATCGGATGAAAGGCGCATACGATGAACCAACGGGCACAAAGAACCTAATTCCGAATCGCATCAATTTGCAGGAAGGGGTTCAGCTTGATATAGAGGCACTTCTATCACCAATTCAAGACGGAAAATGTTACCAAGATGCAACTTCACAACTATTGTCTACCTCATGAAAGTGGAAGGGGAATTAATTCCTCAACACTTTTGCAGTGACCACTATGCATAAAAGGGATTCACTACTCAACCACAGACACTATCTTTCTCAAAGGAAAAGCCCATTGTGTGTAGAGTAGAGGCTCTTCAATTTCTGGTAAGAAGTGTTTGCCACATCACCGCATGACAAGAAAGTGGTTTATGTCACATGCCGCCCATGCAAAGTCGAAAAATGTAAATTCTAAAAAGCTATCCAAGAATCGAAAAGGTTGCACGGAATATAGGCACAGTTGCTGAAAGGAAAGTTCAAAGAAAAGTAAGAAAATATAGGTGGAAGGATTGCAGGGAATGCTGACGAATCTTGATTCCCGGGGCTTTTCATGTAAACCAGCAGAGGTTGATTTGACTGATTGGGAAAGTCGTCTGGAAAGGTGGAAAAGATGAACGAAATGTCTGGAACGTTCATGGGATTTGAACACTGCATGTAAAGCAGCAAAAAAATTAATGGCGGATTGAAATGAGGAGAAAGTTGTTTTCAAACTCAATGAAATTGTGTGTGGAAATGTTACGATGGAAGGTCGGAAAAGTTGTCCGTTAAGTCAGAACGTTGCTTGAAAAATCGGAAATGAAATCTGGAATGTCGTTTAAAAATTCAGAGAGCGCGTGTAACCTAGACTACGAAAGTTAAAACTAGGCTGCGTGAAGGTAACTCTGGAATATGACGTGACCAATATACGATTAAGCGAGAATGCATCAAGGCAACATTGGCAATCATACAATTGTACTGCGTGGTGGGAAGCCATTTGGAGGAGGTTGATTACTACAACCCTGAAAACCATGAGCAGCCTGAGCGTAGATTGTAGGTAGATAAAGGGCGTGCTGTCAATGTACTAACGATTCACTGTTTTTTATTTAAATGCACGTGAACAATTGAATTATTTGATCCCCTGCCAAATTCATGAGTTTAAAACCCAGTGAAATTGTCCAATACATCAAAATAGTCAATTAAATGTGTTTATTACATTGCTCATTATATGCATGATGGTGATATGTCCACGATGTGTACAGTCGCAGGGACATGCGATGTATAGAAATGCTTTCAAACTCTTGGCGGGGAAAAATAATTCATTTCGGAATTTAGATTAGTAATTACGCTTTCTTCACTGACATCAACGTATCACCAGTAAGGAAGAACACGCATCCATTAGCTGTGGGTAACTAGAAACTGTATTTTGTAGAAATCACTTAAAACAATTTAGCACGTAATTTGGGATCGAAATTCCCATTTATTGTTATATTTCGTCAATACAAATTATACTTATTTACACAAATTTCTGAAAATGATGGATGAAAAATTGTCAATGTTTGCTTGTCCCCGTAATGAAATGAGACGGAAAATGTCGACACTTTTTGATAAAAAAATCAGAGAGTGCAGAAGTAACAAAAATATACACATATGAGAAGTATATATTTTCTATTGTACCATAATGGTAGATCGAGTGCAAATGAAGAAAAGTTATCCAATGATGGCTTGGCCATCAAAGATCTGAACTACTTGATCTTCTTCCACATATTCGACTTCATCCAACCATCGAACCTACAGTTTTAGAGAATAAACACTCATTTCATTATTCTTGCAAGATTCTATATTATAGATACGTCACGTGACCGCGAAATGCTATCCAGATCCTTCAAAATGACAGTTGATATATCATTTTTTACTAAAATACCATCATACTTTTTTTAAGTTCTTTAAGGCCCTCCACCCCCTAACCTGAACCTCGACACTCGAGCACCCCCAAATGTAATTGTATATTTTTTCTAGATACGTGTCCTAAAGAGAGGCATTTGCAATTAAAATGGAGGGACTACACTGAATTGGTAGGCTTGGATTGGTGAGTGCATCCTAAGGAACTCCTTAAAATATTATTTATTTATTATTTTTATATTAAATTTTAATTATTCATTTTATGTTTTGCTACACAGAAATAACCCAGAATAATTGTTATGGGATAAAAATAAAACGAAATACTAAACAATATACTGTAAAACATGTCTTTTTCGCGAATTTAGTGAGATAACTGATTCGCTAATTCAAGATGTCGCTAATTGACTGTATTATAAATTCAAAATGGCCGCCAAACAAAGAAATCTACAAAAGCGAGAGATTCGCTAAATCGACATTTCGCTATTACGTCATTTTACCACAATTCGCTAAAACTGCATGCCGCTTTTTCAACATGTTTTACAGTAATAGAAAATTAAAAAAAACAATACAAGCGTTAGGATTTCGATACAACTTTATATAGTACGTACCATTGTTAGGGCTTTCTGTGAGAGGATTATGGACATTGTCCCCATTGAGAGGGAGAGGTGTTGCAGCTCCACCAACATATCCTTTTCTTCAGCAGCTGATGTGACGTCACGTATAAAATCCATCACACATTTTTCGTTACAGCTCTCCTGCAAGTAAATTTTCTATTAAAAAAAAAAACTACTAAGCGGGGTCGATAAGATCATTCTACAATGTCGTTGTCGCGCTGAAATTTTCTGGGACTAATGTCCTTTATCGAAAATTGCTACTAATTCGGTGACATCAAGCTTTAGTGAAACTAAACTAAGAGGGCATGCGCAGTGTTACAAAAAAGGTTTCGCAGTTTATTTACAAAGCCTTTCGAAAAAGGATAGTTGATAGTTTTGAAATTAATTAATATTATTAGTAGTATTAGTAAAACATTTAACACATTCCATTTTACTTTTATACTTAACATAATTACATGTTCTCTTTCTTCATTATTTCATTATTACTATTATACTTTGTCATACTTTTATTGCTACTGTACTGATAGAAAATATTTCTAAAGATGCAAAAAATATTATTATATTGGTGTTTTAGTGAGATAATTCAATTGCTGTGGTAACTTCAAGACCACATGTAGAGTTTTCAAAAGTGAATGAATCGATTCGTTGAAAAGGAAGCTCTCCCACTATTTGAAGTGGTCATATACCTTGAGCTGAACTATAAACACGTCACCTTCCACGCTGTGATGTACACCGCCGTGTGTATACAGTGGTGCCTCTGTTTGTCTTGTCTCGTAACAAGGCGTGTAGATCAACCACGACAAGAGAGACATCCATAATATACCCGACTTCATCTTGTATCTCGCCTTCTCTGAAACGAAGCAACAATTATTTGGAAAACAAATTCAGAGGAATTGGGAATGTCAATACCACAGCACAAGCTTATACAAGAAACTGATACCTTCATATAGAAAATAACAAAACACTTTGACAACGTCATATACAAATTATACTAAAAATATTGCTATGGTGCTAATGTAAACGGAAGGGCTATAAACGTAAGAAACAAGTTCACATTTATTGAGTTTCAGTTACTTCGTGACAGCTGATGCCGTCACCTAAATATAAAAGTGGTGGCACATTGCCATGGATGGCTTTAAAGATGGAACGCGTTATAGAGTAATATTTCAATTTGGTGTTTCAATTTATCTCATTTGTATACGAGTAATTTGTTCTGTAAACCGGATTTTACAAAAAAAGGCTCAAAATTTCTTTGCTAAACGCAAGTTAACAGACTCAATATTTTAGACAATGCGAAACTACGTAATAATTGGTCCTGATTGGTTACACAACAGTCTGACCAATCAGAATACTTTGTTTACAGGTTTTTTGAATATGTCAAATTCTGCCTTGTATATATGCTTCAACGTTGTGAACTTCCTTCACTGCTATGTATTTGCATCATATAAAAGCTTCGTCACTGGAGGGCGCAAGACGTAGGAACAGTCAAACACTCTCGACTAAAAGTTCATCCCCAAATCAGAAACCCTTTGGAGTATATTTCAGAGGAAAAGGTACAAATAACATGGTTGTGTAGCCTAAATCACACCTTATCTCACATGCAGACAACGCCCGAATTTAAATTTCCCGAAAACGGTGGAATTTGCAAACGTTCCAACGCGATTATATTTCTCCATGATTATATTCAATAGGATTTCCATTGTTATACTCGTGCAAAACTTGTGTTTGGCAACAATTCATTTTAACGACGCATGTCATTGTTGAACATGGGTCCCATGCGACGTGTACAACACGTGTAAAATATATCGCTTTTTTAAACGAAATTCGAACACGCGCTGCAAGTGTTTCTAAGCTCGAAAATGTTCAACCACTTTCAAACTGAAATTCCCCAGCGTCAATGTTAGGAAGATTATTCAAACAAAAACCAAGTTCTCGTCTGACTTCGTCTTTACCTTCAATTTGTTATTATACAGCTGGGCTGATGACGAAGCTGTTAGGAAGACAGTACGCTGAAGCTCGGGACAGGTAGATATTTACAACGTCTATAAACGGGTAATCACATGCGTCGACGGTCAATGACACTCACTTACGACGCACATGTGGTGAACAC